CAGGAACAGTCCACTGTCTGTCCAAAGCAAAAAAGGCCAAATGTGGACATGGAAGGTTGGGGGGGGGATTAAGGTTGGGGGTGGGCGAGGGATGAAGGTTGGGGGGTGGGCGAGGGATGAAGGTTGGGGGGTGGGCGAGGGGATGAATGTTAGGGGTGGGCGAGGGGATGAAGGTTGGGGGGGGATGAAGGTTGGGGGGTGGGCGAGGGGATGAATGTTAGGGGTGGGCGAGGGGATGAATGTTAGGGGTGGGCGAGGGGATGAATGTTAGGGGTGGGCGGGGCTGGAGGGATGAGGGGATGAAGGTTGGGGGGGCGATGAAGGTTGGGGGGGGGGGTGGGCGAGGGGATGAAGGTTGAAAGGTTGGGGGGTGGGCGGGGATGAAGGGGATGAAGGTGGGGGGGGATGGGCGAGGGGATGAAGGTTGGGGGATGGGCGAGGGGATGAAGGTTGGGGGGGGGGAAGGTTGGGGGGTGGGGGGGGGCAAGGGGATGAAGGTTGGGGGGATGGGGGCGAGGGGGGTGAAGGGTTGGGGGTGGGCGAGGGGATGAAGGTTGGGGGATGGGCGAGGGGGGGGATGGGTTGGGGGGGGGTGATGGGGGTGGGCAGGGGATTGGGGGGGATGAAGGTTGGGGGGGATGCAGGTTGGGGGGTGAAGCTTGGGGGTGGGGCGAGGGGATGAAGGGGGGTTGGGGGTGGGTGAGGGGGATGAAGGTTGGGGGGGCAGGTTGCAGGTTGGGGGGGGTGAAGGTTGGGGGGTGGGCGAGGGGGATGAAGGTTGGGGGGGATGAAGGTTGGGGGGATGGGCAAGGGGGGGGTGAAGGTTGGGGGAATGAAGGTTTGGGGGGGGGGATGCAGGGGGGTGGGGGGGGGATGCAGGTTGGGGGGGCAGATGGGGGGTGAAGCTTGGGGGGTGGGCGAGGGGATGAAGGTTGGGGGGGGGTGGGCGAGGGGATGAAGGTTGGGGGGGAAGGTGCAGGTTGGGGGGGTGAAGCTTGGGGGGTGGGCGAGGGGATGAAGGTTGGGGGAAGGGGGGTGGGCGAGGGGATGAAAGGTGGGGGGGGATGCAGGTTTGGGGGGGGATGAAGGTTGGGGGGTGGGGAGGGGATGAAGGTTTGGGGGGATGCAGGGGGGGTTGAAGGTTGGGGGGGATGAAGGTTGGGGGATGCAGGTTGGGGGGGGTGAAGCTTGGGGGTGGGGGGGGATGAGGGGATGAAGGTTGGGGGGGGCGATGAAGGTTGGGGGGGATGCAGGTTGGGGGGGGTGAAGCTTGGGGGTGGTGGGGGCGAGGGGATGAAGGTTGGGGGGATGAAGGTTGGGGGGATGCAGATTGGGGGGGGGTGAAGCTTGGGGGGTGGGGCAAGGGGATGAAGGTTGGGGGGGGGTGAAGCTTGGGGGGTGGGCGAGGGGATGAAGGTTGGGGGGGGCGAGAGGATGAAGGTTTTGGGGGGATGCAGGTTGGGGGGGATGCAGGTTGGGGGGGGGGAAGCTTGGGGGTGGGCGAGGGGGATGAAGGTTGGGGGGGGGGATGCAGGTTGGGGGGTGAAGCTTGGGGGGTGGGTGAGGGGATGAAGGTTGGGGGGGATGAAGGTTGGGGGGATGCAGATTGGGGGGGGGGTGAAGCTTGGGGGGTGGGGTGGGGAGGGGATGAAGGTTGAAGGGATGAAGGTTGGGGGGGGGGTGAAGCTTGGGGGGGTGGGCGAGGGGGATGAAGGTTGGGGGGATGGGCGAGAGGATGAAGGTTTGGGGGGATGCAGGTTGGGGGGGGGGATGCAGGTTGGGGGGGTGAAGCTTGGGGGTGGGCGAGGGGATGAAGGTTGGGGGGGATGCAGGTTGGGGGGTGAAGCTTGGGGGGTGGGGGCTGAGGGGATGAAGGTTGGGGGGGATGAAGGTTGGGGGGATGCAGATTGGGGGGGTGAAGCTTGGGGGGTGGGCGAGGGGATGAAGGTTGGGGGGATGAAGGTTGGGGGGATGCAGATTGGGGGGGGGTGAAGCTTGGGGGGTGGGCGAGGGGATGAAGGTTGGGGGGGGATGAAGGTTGGGGGGGTGGGCGAGGGAATGGAGGTTGGGGGGGATGAAGGTTGGGGGGGGATGAAGGTTGGGGGGGGTGAAGGTTGGGGGGGATGAAGGTTGGGGGGGGTGAAGGTTGGGGGGGATGAAGGTTGGGGGGGATGATGAAGGTTGGGGGGGTGCAAACAAGAAGATAATTAGCGTGAAGTACTTACGCGTTTCGGTACAAAACCTTCTTCATAGCAATCTGGACTCTGGAGGTGATTAACCCCTTACCATCCGGCCCATGTACATAAACGGCCAGACAGGAGCAATGCAGGGGCGGGTGGCCATTTATAAACGTCCTCCCGCATTCCCTGCCTGTGCTCGCTCCCTGGGAGTACGCAGCACCGCGATCCTCCAGACACAGCGGAACACTGATCATCGTACGGGATCTCTGTGTGAGGTCCCAATCATGTGATCACTGACTGGCCAATCAGTGATCATATGCAGAGTAGTAAGCCAGATGTTACTCCTGACATCATTGCTTACTATGTGTGAAATCTGTGAATGATCACAGAGATCACATGGTACAGGGCCATTCACAACAGCCTTGTACCATGTGACAAGCTGTGACCAATCACAGCTCTCACAGTATTTCTCAATGGCTGCAGGAATGATTGATTTTACAGCCTTTATGGGTATAAAAGCAATCAGTGTAAAAAAACAAAAAAAAAACTAAATCTTCATCACCCCCCACAAGTAGTACAGTGTCACCATGGTGACCCCACACTGCTAGGGTGACAGTATGTAAAAAAAAAAAAAAAAATAATAATATAAATAAATACAATTTTGAAAAATTATAATTTTTGGCTATAAACTAATTTGTTTTTTTTTTTTAACTAAAAAGATAACTGAATATATTTTGGCCGAGATTTATGAAGGAAGAATATTTATTTGCAGTTTTATAAGAAAAACATTTTCATTGATATAGCAAAAAAAAAAAAAAAAATCCCAGCGGTGAATAAATACCACCAAAATAAAGTTTTATCTGTCTCAAAAAAATGCTAAAAAATTCATATGGGTGCAGTGTTGCATGACCGCGCAATTGTCATTCAAAGTGTGATAGTGCTGAAAGCTGAAAATTGGCCTGGGGGGGGGGGGGGGGGGTCAAAGTGTCCGGACTGGAAGGGGGGGAAAGTGTCCGGACTGGAAGGGGGTGAAAGTGTCCGGACTGGAAGGGGGGAGAGTGTCCGGACTGGAAGGGGGTGAAAGCGTCCGGACTGGAAGGGGGGGAAAGCGTTTGGACTGGAAGGGGGGGAAAGTGTCCGGACTGGAAGGGGGGGAAAGCGTTTGGATTGGAAGGGGGTGAAAGCGTCTGGACTGGAAGGGGGTGAAAGTGTCCGGACTGGAAGGGGGGGAAGTGTCCGGACTGGAAGGAGGGGAAAGTGTCCGGACTGGAAGGGGGGGGAAGTGTCCGGACTGGAAGGGGGGGAAAGCGTCATGATCATGGCCAGCCCGGTACCCTGGGAAGGGATATCACCCTCTGGGGGAAAAGGTTCCTAGTGGGTGGGACGGAGTGAGGCCAGGAAAAGGGGTGGGCAGGAGGGGCGGCTGCCCTGGGCGCAGTAGCGTACTGTATGAATGGGGGCGCCAGTGAGCTCATTCTGATACAAGGCATTTTGACAGCTGGAGGTAGCTTCCCCTAAGCACGCACATAATGGGGGGGGGGGGCTGTTTGGCAGTTTGGCTTCTTTGCCCTGGGTGCTGGATGACTGGGAAGATGGCTGGCCCCGGGGCCCCTGCAGGAGCCATGGTGGTTTCCATGAACATGACAAATGGTCTCCCTGTGTATATTTACAATTGCAAACGATGCCGAGCCGGCCAAAACGGAAGACTGATCGAATCCACAGACAAATCATTTAAGGAGTAGACATCCCCTTTAAGTGGCCCCACAGCTCCGCTAATTGTGGCCCCCGAGAAATATTGGCGAATGGCTGGAGTGCGATATTTTCCAGCAAATTTGTATTACCGGTCGGAGCTACGTTGATGTTTGTGCGGCGATCCCAGTTCTGGGCGGAGATGCTGGAAACCGCGTGGAGTTCATTTCCGCCGCTGATTCCAGAGAAAACTAATTGAGCGCGAAGAGAGCAGATGGCGGCGAGCGCAATCCTCGCACTGCGTCGCCGGTCTGAGCCGCCGTATTATTTACCGCTTTATAACCGCGGATGTTAGAGAACGAGCGCCGCGATAAGTGCGCCATAAAGATTCAATTAAAGGAACGGCGATAATATCCGGCGTCCCCAAAGAGACGTTCAGATCCAACGCCAAAATTTGCATGGCGGCAAAAGATGAGCGCCGCCGGATTGTGGATGAAGAGATCGGCAGCTCCGGATCCATCAATATGGGACGGCGAGGAGCGATCCGAGGAGCTGAGAATCCAACCAGACTGACAATTGATGGGAAACAATGTATCACACTGGAGTGCGGGGGGGGGGGGGGGGGGGGGGGGGAGTCATCAAGTTACATTGATACATTGTTTCCCATCAATTGGACGTTTTGTGGAATTCCTCGTTGTTACGTAACATTTATGACAGCTGAGCTCCCCCAGTCAGGGAATAGAGAGGCAGCAGATGGATGTGCTCCTGTCTTCGTCACTCTGCTCTCTCCGTCTGTCAGCGTGTGAACAACTAACTGGTGCCTTGTGCTGTTTCTCCCTCTCCTCGTCTGAGCTCTGCTGTACGGGGACTGCAACAGGCAAATACCGGGTCACGTTCACCTAATTACACTGTTTGGGGTATTTTTTGCTAAACAAACTAAAAAAAAAAACTGAACATTTTGAAAAAAAAAAGTTTTTTTCTTAGTTTCTGTTATAAAATTTTGTAAATAAGTAATATTTCTCCTTCACTGATGTGTGCTAATGAGGTGGCACTGATGAGGAGGCACTGATGAGGTGGCACTGATGAGGAGGCACTGATGAGGAGGCACTGATGAGGCGGCACTGATGAGGCGGCACTGATGAGGAGACACTGATGAGGCGGCACTGATAGGCGGCACTGATAGGCGGCACTGATGAGGAGGCACTGATGAGGAGGCACTGATAGGCGGCAGTGATGAGGCACTGATGAGGAGGCACTGATGAGGCACCACAACCACCACTACTACTACTACTACAGGAATCACCACCACTACTACTACTACTACAGGAATCACCACCACTACTACCACAACCACCACCACTACTACTGCTACCACAACCACCACCACTACTACTGCTACCACTACTACTACAACCACCACCACTACTACTGCTACCACTAATACCCACAACCACTACTACTGCTACCACTACTACCACAACCACCACCACTACTACTGCTACTACTACCACAACAACCACCACCACTACTGCTACTACTACTACCACAACAACCACCACCACTACTACTGCTACCACTAATACCACAACCACCACCACTACTACTGCTACCACTACTACTACAACCACCACTACTACTGCTACCACTAATACCAGAGCCACCACCACTAATACTGCTACCACTACTACCACAACCACCACCACCACTACTACTACTCAACCACCACCACTACTACTGCTACCACTACTACTACCCAGGGGTGGACTGACAACTCATGGGGTCCCCGGGAAATAGGGGATCATGGGGCCCCTGTGTCCTTGCCCAAACTCAAAAAAAGCCTATGCAAAAGGTAGCAAGGGCATCTCATGGGGCCCCCTACTGACCTCGGGCCCTCAGGCAGTGCCCGAGTTTCCATATGGTCAGTCCGCCCCTGCTACTACCACAACCACCACTACTACTACTACTATGGCACAAGATGGCGGCTGTGCAGAGAATGACGATACAATATAAATGGTAAACATGGGTGGTCAGTGCTATCAGCAGAGGCAGGGTGAGTTCTGGGATGGGGGCGGGGTGGGGGGGGGGGGGCGGTCTATAGAATGAATGTAAATTGTATTTTTTATGTGACCCTCATGGACCCCTGGAGACCCCTCTGTGGACCCCTGGAGACCCGTCCGTGGACCCCTGGAGACCCGTCCGTGGACCCCTGGAGACCCGTCCGTGGACCCGTGGAAATCTGTCCGTGGACTCCTGGAGACCCGTCCGTGGACCCCTGGAGACCCGTCCGTGGACCCCTGGAGACCCGTCCGTGGACCCCTGGAGACCCGTCCATGGACCTCTGGAGACCCGTCCATGGACCCCGGGTTCGGAGCCTCTGGTCCATAGCCTGGGAACGTGTCCAGTCTGAACAAATGGCAGTTTGGGATCATTTCTCACAGAATGTTCTTTAGGATTCACGCTTTGCGGTCATCGTCCATTTAATGACCATTTTGTGGCTCCTATTCTGCCGCCATGAATCGCTTTCTTCTTGTTTTCCAGCAGACCGCAGCGCCGTCTCTGACATCACGCGTCCGGCGAGCAGCGGCTCACCTTCCCTGAGAAAGAATCGTTTTATCCCCAATAATTACAGATATTTTCTTCTCCAGCAATCTCCTAATCCTCCGCGTGATTCCAATCACTCCACGCGCTCCCCTGATGACGGCGAAAATAACTCCGCCGCACAAACCTTTCCGGCCCTCGGTGGGACGTAGATTGTCACGCCGCCCACCTACGGGCAGACCAATCATCGGGAAGACGGGAACAATGCTCTCGCTATTTATACCTGAAGGCTGACTCCAGTCAGATCGAAGATTTCACGTCTGAAACTGGAAGAACGAATTTATTTCAGGTCCTTATATATGCCGCGCTGTACATAAATATGGTACATTCACATCAGGCCCCGCCCCCCGAGGAGCGTACAGTCTTAGATTCCTAACTCACATACATACACATACTAAGGACAATGTAGACAGGAGCCAATTCACCTCCCAGCATGTCTTTTGGAGTGTGGGAGGAAACCAGACCGCCACATGACCGATGGATTCAGACAATATTTTATTATCCCGGAGCTCCGCTTTAATGCCAGTAGACATGAGCGGTTCGTTTCTAAATCAAAATTCGGATGAAATTTTTGTCATTCAAACATTCGGATGTATCTGAATTTACAAATTACAATAACAACCAATTTAAACAAATCTGAAATAACAACATTTAACCACATGCCGCGCAGCCACTGTAGAAATACGGCGGCAGGGCGGCACAACTGCGCAAAACCACGTGTGTTTTCAAAACAGGTAGGGGGCGCGCGCGAGAGGCGCGCCACCGCCCCGCCCCTGTCCCGCCGATCACGGCTGCAGATGTCAGTCGCCGGGTCACAGCCGGTCATTACCAGCTGTGTCCCGCCGATTAGCGGCAATCGCTGACAGAGAGCAGGGCTGCAGTAGCTGTGCTTTCTGTCAGTTCCCTGACAGCTCCTGACATGCTGATTGGGACAGAAGAGTTTATCTGTCCTGATCAGTGTGTTTTCTGCAGTACACCCCCCCCCCCCCCCCCCTAGTAAAAACACTCCCCTCACAGTTAACCCTTTCACTCAATAATAAAGTTAACCCCTTCCTCCCCAGTGCCATTAGTACAGTGTCAGTGTTTTTTTTTTTTTTTGCACTGATCACTGTATTGGTGTCATTGGGGATGTCAGTGACCCCAAGTCAGTTCCCCCCCCCCCAGTGTCAGAATGTCCGCCTCAGTCCCCCCATAGGTCGCTGATCGCCGCCATTATTAGTATAAAAAAAACCCTAAAAATCCCAGTCTCTTTCCCGCCATTTGTAAACGCTATAACTTTCACGTAAACCAATTAATTTACACGTATTGGGTTTTTGTAGCAAAGACATGTCGCAGAATGCATTTTGGCAGAAATTTATGACTAAATTTGATTTTTACATATTTTTTTTTGCTGGACGTTTTACAGCAAAAAGTCCAAAATATTGTTTTTTTTCCTCAAAATTGTCAGCCTTTTTTTTATAGCGCAAAAAATAAAAACCGCACAGGCGATCAAATAGCACCGAAAGAAAGCTCAATTTGTGGGGACGTCATGGGGACGTCATGGGGGCGTCATGGGGACGTCATGGGGGCGTCATGGGGACGTCATGGGGATGTCATGGGGATGTCATGGGGGTGTCATGGTGATGTCATGGGTACGTCATAGGGGCGTCATGGGGATGTCATAGGTATGTCATGGGGGCGTCATGGGGATGTCATGGGGACGGGTTATCTTGCCAATTTCCGATGCATAAAACATGTCAAAGTATAAAACGTCAGTCCTGTGCCGGTTGTGACGCCCGTCCTTGCGCTGCACGGCTTCCATAGCCCAAACTAGCTGTGACACAACATGCAGCTCCCGCCATCCACAGCATGCATTCTTCTGCACCCAGCCGCCAGGCGTTGATGTGCGTCCTGCAGTGCAGATCCCGGTCGGGGAATGAATATGAACCAATAGTGGAGGATTGTTGCCACCATTCATTCTGGCCGCCGTTCACCTTTCAGGATAAAGGACGTTTGGCCGCAGGACGGCGGCATGCGCCATGTGGCGCTAATAAGTCATCACCCCCCCTCCCCCATCTGACCGTTCTGCCATACAGACTCCGGCGCCAAACATCCGGACGCTCGGACGACCTCTGAAAATCGCTCATTCCTGACCGCTCCCTTAATGAGCCCATTTGGCCATTTTATGGTGATGATGTTTTATTACAGGGAAGAATCAATGAGCCAATCAGGACGTGAAGGCTACAAACATCTGCACCAATCAGGCGGGAGATTTATATACCCATGGCGAGGGATACCCCGGGGCCGCCATTTTTTGTGACGCTGCATTTAAAGTGCACCTGTCAGGAATGTTACAAATCTGCATCGATGATCCCGGACATGTCACCATATACAGGAGCAGGGTCAGTGTTCAGAGAAGCTCCGCCTCTTACAGAGCCGCGGCGCACAAAACCAAAATACGACGCTGTGCGCGACTTTGGATGCGACTTTGGATGTGACTTTGGCTGCTGCACTGATAACATTTGGATGCGACTTTCATGCAATGTTGGAGTCTACATTGCAGTCTGTGGCCCTCGAGTCGCACGGAAGTCACATTAGAGTAGCGCAGGAACCTTGTTAACCCCTTCAGTGCCGAGCGCTGTCACCCCCTCCCTGCCCACCGGGCGCTGTCACCCCCTACCTGCCCACCGGGCGCTGTCACTCTCTCCCTGCCCACCGGGCGCTGTCACTCTCTCCCTGCCCACCAGACGCTGTCACCCCCCTCCCTGCCCACCGGGCGCTGTCACTCTCTCCCTGCCCACCGGGCGCTGTCACTCTCTCCCTGCCCACCAGACGCTGTCACCCCCTCCCTGCCCACCGGGCGCTGTCACCCCCTCCCTGCCCACCGGGCGCTGTCACCCCCTCCCTGCCCACCGGGCGCTGTCACCCCCCCTCCCTGCCCACCGGACGCTGTCACCCCCTCCCTGCCCACCGGGCGCTGTCACCCCCTCCCTGCCCACCGGGCGCTGTCACCCTCTCCCTGCCCACCGGGCGCTGTCACCCCCCCTCCCTGCCCACCGGGCGCTGTCATTCTCTCCCTGCCCACCGGGCGCTGTCACCCCCTCCCTGCCCACCGGACGCTGTCACCCCCTCCCTGCCCACCGGGCGCTGTCACCCCCTCCCTGCCCACCGGGCGCTGTCACTCTCTCCCTGCCCACTGGGCGCTGTCACCCCCTCCCTGCCCACCAGATGCTGTCACCCCCTCCCTGCCCACCAGGCGCTGTCACCCCCTCCCTGCCCACTAGGCGCTGTCACCCCCTCCCTGCCCACCGGATGCTGTCATTTCCTCCATGCCCACCGGGCGCTGTCACTCCCTCCCTGCCCACCGGACGCTGTCACCCCCTCCATGCCCACCGGACGCTGTCACCCCTCCATGCCCACCGGACGCTGTCACCCCCTCCCCGCCCACCAGACGCTGTCACCCCCCCCTCCCTGCCCACCGGACGCTGTCACCCCCTCCCTGCCCAGGCCAGTTTCTGCTTTCAGCGATGTCGCACTTTGAATGACAATTGAGCGGTTGTGCGACACTGTACCTGTATGACATTTTTTAATCATTTTTTATAGACAGATAGCGCTTTCCTTTGGTGGTATTTAATCACCACGGGGGGGGGGGGGGGGGGGGGGGGGGTGGGGGGGGGGAGGGGGGGGTTTGTTTTGTTTTTTTCTAAATGAATGAAAAAAGACTAAAATTTTGAAATAAAAAAAAAGTGTTCTGTTATAACATTTTGCAAATAAGTATATTTTCTTCTTCACTGATGTGCACTTAACGTGCACTGATGGGCACTGATGGATACTGATAGGCTACACTGTTGGACATTGATGACGCTGCACTGATAGTGTTGCACTGATGTGCACTGATAGGCTATACTGGTAGGCACTGATAGGCTACACTGATGGACACTGATAGGCTATACTGATGGGCACTGATAGGCTACACTGATGGGCACTGATAGGCTACACTGATGGACACTGATAGGCTATACTGATGGGCACTGATAGGCTATACTGATGGGCACTGATAGGCTACACTGATGGGCACTGATAGGCTATACTGATGGTGCTGCACTGATGGACACTGATAGGCTACGCTGATGGACACTGATGGGGCTGCACTGATGAGGCTGCACTGATGGGCACTGATATGCTGCACTGCCCTCAGAGGTTTGTTAGAGAACATTAGTGAACAAACAGCATCATGAAGGCCAAGGAACACACCAGGCAGGTCAGGGATAAAGTGGTGGAGAAGTTTAAAGCCGGGTTAGGTTATAACAAACAATCTCCCGAGCTTTGACCATCTCACGGAGCACTGTGTTCAATCCATCCTCCGAA